CATAGATGGTGGAAGGAGACCCTCATTGTTATACAAAATACATGTATGAAGATGTGAGAAAAAAAGAATAGCATTACTCTATATTAGGTAGAGAGAAGTGATGGGAGGGGAGAGGAGGGGTTGGGGAGATAGGAAGGATAATAGAATGTAACAGACATTATTATTACTGTGAATATATATGTGAATGCATGACCAATGTGATTCTGCAACCTGTGTACTCAGAAAAATGAGATATTGTATCCCATCTGATTCAAATGTATGATATGTCAAGGTTATTGTACTGTCATGTGTAACTAATTAAAACAAATAAAAAAATAAGATTTTACTTTTCAGCTACTGTGAATAATGCTGCTATGAACGTTGGTGTAGAAATATCTGTTAAGAGTATTTGCTTCCAATTATTTTGGGTAAACACTCAGAAGGGAAATTGCTGGGTCAAGTGGTGGTAATTCTATATTTAATTTTTTGAGGAACTGCCATACCATTTTCCATAGTGGCTGGATCATTTTACATTCTCATCAGTGATGCATGAAGGTTCCATTTTCTCCATATACATGCTAACACTTATTTTTATTTATTAATAGTCATCCCAACAGGTGGGAAGTATTAACTCATTTCAATTTTCATATCCTTAATGATTAGTGATGTTGTGCATATTTTAATGTGCTTGTTGGTCATATGTCTATCTTTGGAGAAATGTCTATCATCACTTGCCCATTTTAAAAATGGTTGTTGATTTTTTTTGTTGCTGATGAGTAGTATGAGTTCTTTATATATTCTGGATATTAATCTCTATAAAATAAGTGCTTTGAAAAATTCCCATTTTGTGAGTTATCTTTTCTGTTGATAATGACTTTTTATGCTCAAAAGATTTTAATTCAGATGAGGTCTAATTTTTCTTTTATTTTTTGATTGTGATTGACTTTGATGTTACATCAGTGCTGTACTGTCAGCTTTCTTTTGCTATACTTTGCAAGGTGACAAATAAAATGAATATGACGAATCTTTGTGCCATCTATTTGGAATAGGATGTCTCCAATTAATGATCCAAAAGAGAAAATGTGTCAAATATAAAATGAGATTCAGGCCTCAAATTATATATTAGGACTAACCATTCTTATTCAGCAATTATAAGAGATAATAAAACATCCAATATATACCAATGAATGAATTTCTGCAAGGTTACATAATTGCTAGTAGTTGAGAAAGTAAAGGGCAATCTTTGGATTAAATTTCCATCTTCTACTAGATGATTCTACTTCCATGTTCAAGGAAGCCTCCTAATTACATCCTCATTCTTCCCAAAATTTAAGATCATGATTTCTGCTCTCAAATGAACCCTCAATGTAAACAGTAAGTTTTTAAAATTTATTCTTAAGGAATATACTCTCACATCCCCACAATGACCATTCAGTTTTTCCCACATACTTCAAACCAACATTTCACCTSCCTCAACTCAATAGAGATAACTTTGGCTCTAATTTTATGAGAAAAAAATTGAAATCATTATAGATGATCTTTTTCAACTTTCTACCTCCTTATTCTTCTAGAAGAGACAGTCTTTCTGGCATTGTAGCTATATTTGGGACTATTACTTAATTCAGTTTGTGTAGCCTATTGTCATCCTCTAGGATCTGTTTCTGCTGGCTGCAGACTAATAAATTAAACTGAGATGCAAAGGAGATGCCATTCCTGAATCCTTAAAATCTTTAAGGGTAGCATTAATTTCTACCATYCTCTCCCCGCAAACCTGAAAGTGACACTTTTAAAATTATTATTTAGAGACAATTCAGACGCAATTTCAGAGATTTCCATTTGACCTTTCCCACTATATATTTTTTATCCCAGACTAAAGACCCAATTTGGTCAAAGGATTAAGTACATTAAATCCAGTTACATATTTTGGGATCAGGAAAATAACCAGGAGGTGGGGTCCTAGTGAACTSTATCTAGTAAACTGAACTTTGGTCAGAATTCTGTACGTCATTTATTCCCTAGTCCTCATATGAATGGACTCTAATTGAGATGGACATTAAGATGCCTTTGGTTTCTGGATATCAATGTCAAGTCAGACCCTCTGTCCTACAATTCTAAAATTCTTTTGAATATGCTTCATTCTCTAGTGGAAGTCACCCAAATAAATGGCTGTAGTTCCCTTCGGAGAAGAACCAGTACCATTATTTTTGTAAATGTGTTCCATTTTATTTTAGAGGGTCCCAACCTTCTGTTTTGTCAATGGCTCTAAACCTGAAACATAGCTCAGGTCTGRAAATGGGCAAGAGATTATAATGGCTTACTGGAGCAACTACTCTTAACCTCCTGGACACTCATCCTTGATTTCTTCTCATGACACAAGCTTCTGGTACCTTGTTGCCGGCACATATGTTTCACTCCTGATGATTCTATATTCTATTACTTATCTTCATAACTCTCTGAAACTCATATCTTCCCTGCTCCTTTCATCTGTTTCTGGAGGTTAAGGACCACTATTTGGCCTTTATTTTCCAGGGTCCTATTATCTTCATTGCTATCATTAAATCTTGTTCAGTTTCTGGTCTACAGAGAGCCATCATTGAAACTTTTAGTAATGTATTCCTCAGAGGGTTGAAGGAGGTCTGGGGTTTTAAAAACTGGAGTAATTATTTGCTCTTATGCCTCCACCTTAAGTGTTGGAGTTATCCACTTAGTTTTCTCTGGAGTTTACCACTCTGATTTCCAAGTCCTGGTCCTGAGTTTTTATTGCCCTCTGTCTTAGGACCTTAAAAACCTCTTTGTATGTTATATAGGAGGACTTCTAGAGGAGTTTCTAACATCTCTAACTAGATTACAGATATGCTTTTTAAAAAAATTGTTGCTGAGGATTGAACCCAGGGCCTTGTGCATGCAAGGCAAGCATTCTACCAACTGAGGTATTTCCCCAGTCCACAGATAACAGATATGCTTATTTAACCTTGTAGTTCTGTCAGCCATTTTTTCATATATTTTCTTCTCTCTCTCTCTCTCTCTCTCTCTCTCTCTCTCTCACACACACACACACATACTATATTCTTAATCTGTCTTTTACAATTAATAACCTCTCTTTTTTATTGGTCAAGATGACTTTCACTCTAAAATAAAATTAGGATGGATATTTGAGTTGCCTTTATTCATAATGCTATACTGATTTCTAAATCTACTGGTTTCTCCTTATATATGTTTTACTACTTTGCATATTTATGCTTTTGGATGATTATAACTTACAATTAGAATTTTTAACAGTTTTCCCTATTAACTCAAAGAATTGTTGAAACATGGCAAAAAAAAAAATCTTCCCTAATAGAAAACCTCAAAGGGTTCTTCAGGTTTTTTTGTCATCTTATAATATTGTGTATGATTTTAATTTACTTTTATTGATATGCTCCCYGTGAAGGATTTTTAGTTTGTTCCATGTGCATATTTGCTGTTGGTCCAAATAAATTGAAAATTTCTGGCTTCATTTTCTTTTACAGAAGATGATAAATTGCCATTGACTGGCAAAGCTGTAATATCATTAATGTGACTTAGGGGGAAAAACTCACCTTCTCCAAATCCTCCGTTTCTACTCATGAATTCAAAGAAAGCATCAAGAATTCTGCAGAGAGTTATAATAACTGTTATGTCCTGTACAGGAAATGGCTGAAATTTCTGATGCTTCTTTATAAATTTTAGTCCATCAGTGACACTTTTCTGAATCATGAATTCAAGACAATCCACTCCTGATTGATTCATGATTTTAGAGGTTTTTGAAAGCCATGACTTGACATAAGGCTCCCATCCCAGATCAACAGGATCCTAATAATAAAAAGCATAAGAAAATCTTAAGTAAATTAAAAAATATGCTGTCCTCCTACTTCCTTTTTGCTTTATCAGTGTCCTCTGCCAAATATGAGTTATTATTCATTAAAGGGCAAGTGGTCAAAAACAGCTCAAGTAATTATCATTCTCTGGAATGATATATGTTTCTGACCATAGTTTTATCAGACAATAGGCAATTGGAGGAGTATGTGTAGGGAGGTGTATTGAGGCAGTGTATGTGGTGAGGGGAACTGCTTACCTAGAAGTAATCCTGGACTTAATTAGCTATATTATAGCACAGAGCTAATCATAGCTAATAATTAATTTCATTTATAGAATATACTTTTTTTTTGTGGTGTCTTTTACCTCCTCACTACTGTMTTGGCAATGTGTTTTTCAAGTTCTAAGAGTAAGAAAAGGTCTCAGGGAAATATTTCTTCTGTTGGAAAATTAGTTCACACCAGCAGCCTAACCTGTCTAATTGAAAGTACTACTCACAGTTGGGGAAAATATTGACACTTCAATTATTGAGAGTAATTGAATTAAGTAATAAATGCATTCATATTCAATTCTAGATTGTGAGACTTTGGGGTCACAAAACTTCTGAACTACTGGGGTGTGCTTCTGGATCCAGAGGTAAAAGTAAAATAAACATTAAAGTGGTATCAATAGTGACTGGCTACTATCCTAAACAACACGTTTTCTTTGTTAAGAAAATTTTTTGAAAACTTACCATATATATCATTGCACACCGGCTGACAGTAGCAGGACTGGCCTGAGAGAGAGTATCCGTTTCAAAAATAACTCTTATCTTACTAGTTAAAACTATTCTCTCACTGTTTGCTAGGAACAGTGTTCTAGTTTCATCAAACACAGAATTTAGATTCTCTATCCACAAAGTATCCACTGGACCATCTAAGATAATCCACTGCCAGTCAAAATCTAGAGAGAAAAATAAGGTAAAAGGTAATATAACTGAGAATAATCTCTATTTTTTATTACAATCTTGCAAATTTTCTGTTTTAGAGAATATTTTCTAAAATGAAAAATTGTCTTAGAAAACACTAGGTATTGTTTAGACATGAATTGGATAATTAATCTAAAATGTGGATAGRAGACCGATTTATAATCTTTTTCATAATAATATGATTTGTAAGTATGTCAGTCAGCTTTTCATTGTTGTGATTCAAACACTTGACAAAAACAATTTAGAGGAGGTAAAGTTTATTTTGGATTCACAGTTTCAGAGATTTAGTCAATGGTCAGCTGATTCCATTGCTCTGGGCCTGTCAGTGAGGCAGAGCATTGTGGTGAAAAGAGTGTGGTGGAGGAAATCTTCYCAGCTCACAGCAGTTGGGACTGAGCAAGGAGTCAGGGACAAAATATCATCACAAATGGCATGCCCTCAGTKTCCTACTTCCTCCAGCCATGCCCCTCCTGCCTACAGTTACCACCAAATGATACTTAAATTATTAATCCATCAAATGAACTATTCCACCAATCAGAATTCAGCTCTCATAATCTAATCATTTCACCTCTGAACATTCCTGCATTGCCACATGAGGTGTTTGGGTGTCATCTTGTATCTAACACCATAAGAGTGAGTTTGCTCCTTMCACTCATGAGTAATTTTTAGCATGCTACTCTTAGTAAATAGCAAAGGGAAAGAGATACTCTTCAAATAATCAAATAAATGAAAAGTTTGGAGTATATCACACTTGGAATCCATTTACTCGTCTTTCCACATTCCTCTTTCTAGTCCATCTGGGCCACTTTAACAAAACACCGTAGACTGAGTTACATATAAATAACATAAATTGGAAAAATTAGGAAGATGG